AATATTTAGAGTGATGACCTAAATAAAATCAATAATTTCAGTATAAAAGGAAAATGGTATTATTGTTATTATAAGAGGGATATTTATGCTGGTACTGCAAATGAAATTTTAGAAAGGTAAGTCAGATTTACCAAATCAGATTTACCAAAACTGATCTTTAAATGAAAATAATTTAAACATAAAATAAAATCCAGGATAAGGCTTAGTAAATAATTTAGCAAGACTGAGGGATATTATAATAACAGTATTAATATTTTGTTGAGTGTGATTTTAAAATTAAGGAACCACTTTTTATTTTTAAAAAGAGCTTTGTAAAATCTGTTTATGGAAAAAATCTCATTTAGCATCAAGTAAAAACATTTTATCATCAAATATTACAACTATAAGTTTTATAATATTGTATTTTTTATGCCTATAATACTTGCTAATTCCTGGTAAATCGACTGAAAAACATGATATTTAATTAAATATGTACATGTATGTGTAAAATTTATTCAAGAAATATTCCTTCAAAGGAGTTCGCTTGTAATGGTGCTTAATATCTGAATGATTCACTTCTGTGAAATTGAAATTGACAAAAGTGTTGCAATTTACAGAATATGAGCTCTTAAGTGATTATGTAATATAAGTATATGTCGGCATTTATACCCTAAATTAACTGCTTACAATAATCTCCACTCATGAACACTTTACTGCACATTATTTCGGAGTTAATCTTTTTTGCGCACATTTTTAATTATTCGCTTTTATTGACTTATTTTGACCTTTAAGAGCTTTCTTTTTATATTTTATCTATTTTTAAATTTTTAGTATCAACGATGCAATTGGAATTGCCATTGTACAAATATAATAAAATTAAGCCTCCTTTACTTTATCAAGTAATTGCAATGCAAAAGAGCAATTTACATACGCCGCCTCTATAACCCTTTCAACTCATTGCGCGCATATATTCTTCATATCTCTTCTAAGCTAAATGTACCTACGCAAAGGCGTGTAACAGAACTTTCGCTGGTATTTTCAATACTTATTCTTATGATATTAATTAGGTTTTCAGCATGTCTGCCTGTCGCTGCTAGCCGTATTACATACATGTACGTATATATATGCATAAACATATTCGAATAATTGTGGAGTTTAACTCTAAAAGGATAGTTTCCTTTTTCAATAAATTTAATGCCACACAAACGAGCTGATTAATTTCCGTAAAGATTTTTCTTAAATTTTTCATCACACCACCACACTGCCACAATAACCGCCGTATTTGTCAGTAGTACTAAAATCGCAGCTTAACCACTGGAATCGCCAACACGACCGCTAAGCTTCAGCGTCAAAAAAGACACAAAGAATGGCTGTGGGCCGGTTTGGGTAATTAAGTTCACATGGTTTTAATAGTTCCACTGACCAATGTGTATCACAGTTTCGTTGCTTCGCAATTATGTTTGCAAAGTCAAATGAAATGAAATATCTGACAACAACAGAAGTGCCTATGTAATAGAAAATGAAAACGTGAATCGTTGGCACTGCCGGTATTTGACCCTTTGCTCTCTATTGTATAGAGAAGGCATGGAAGGTCGATATTTTTTGTCGCAATGTCGATTTAGAAAGAGACCTGCATGTTTCCATGACTATAAGCCTAGGCCTACTACCATAATATTAATGTGCAAAAATCATAAATGGCTCTCTTAATCTGATGTTGTAGCATTACGATTTTTTTTAATAGTGTTGCCATATGCTCAAAAATTCACAATGGCCCTAACTGCATTATAGTAGTACATTTCATTTCAAAAATTTTTTTATTTGTTTGATAATCAGTAATTTTAACCACTAATTATTCAGCCGTACCGTAAAAGTACATAATTTTAATATTTTTAAAATAAAAAGATAAAATATAAAATATTAAAAAAAGAAGAATGAAGAAAGGAAGAGCTAAGGGCATAGACTTTATGCTAAAATCATTGGGGACAGAGAAATGGATTAGATGCATTTATTTTTGACATTGTTTAGGTATATTTAAGAACTTATTTTCAAGCAATTTTACAAATATTACATATTAATGTAAACATATACCATATATATTGTAAAGTCAGCCGGCAACATTGTATGCCTATGCAAGTTTTAGATTATCACAACAACAGCTTTCTGCAGAAAAGTTTCAAGCAATTTTTGTCCGTCTTCAACCATAAAGCCCACAATAAAGATAATAAAAGATCGTTAAGATCACTAAACGCAAAGTTTACTTAATTTTATGAATGTTAATACAATCCCGAAACACTACCCATTGATGAGTTCTGAAACTAGATATGCGCCCTTTTTATGTATCTACTTTGTATTATTGACATGCCATATAGCTTTAATTAAAACCAAAGAATATCATATGTGAAATTTACCAAGTTTTTGGTGTTTACGCTGGACAAAAGCGCGCACAGTTTTGTAGGCTTACGATTATATCTTCATGGTACAAATACACTTTCATGCTCTCATGTTCGCATAAATAGTTTTCATATATCACCAAAAACACGCCTGCTTACTTTCTAGCTTATTACTGGTAGCATTATTTGACCGAAACGACTGCGTGAACGCGTAATCTTACTCATGTGCACGCTAATGCTTCGAATACTTATTAATGGGGTTGGTGCATTTATAAACAATACAAGTAGAACAATTATTTGATGTGTTCACCATTTCAGTTGTTTCATTTGTTTTTGTTCATAAAAAATTTCGGTATTTTTTAATTATATACTATATAGTTCGCGGTATAAACCATGGTTTATCAAGTGTGTTAGAACGCCCAAAAGAGTGATACACAATCTAATTCAGTCGACATGCTTTGTAAATACAAAATTGAACGATAATATAATTAACACCACCACCGTCGTCCGTTTTACCAATATCACATACTTAAACGCATGCACCTGATAGTTTACCTGTAATTTAAATAATTTGTTTACCTTGACTGTTGATGTAGATAATATGATCTTTTTCCACTTCTATGCATTAATTGCTTCAACGTCGTTCTTATCGCCAAGGCGACGTTCGCGCAATTTTGTTTGGCATACAATAAATATTTCAAATGTTTTATGCGGTTTTCATTTCATGTTATCGTCAGTGCTTTCCTCAAAATATTAACAATGAAAATGTTACCAACGACTGAAAATAAAATCAAATAACTCAAATTATATAAAAAAACTCGTTCATAACCTTTAATTTGTAAAAACATATAAACCTAACATGAATCATTAACAATTTTTGCATGCTTTCAGTCGTATTAGCTGAGCAATTAATTTGTTGTACCATCATATTATTGTCCTGAACGCCGCTGTAGATGGCAGTTGCTGATGGAAATTAAACATGTTCTCGAAATTAGGTTTTGTGTATTTGTTTCGGTTTTTCCTAAAATTTGGAGGCATGGACAATATGTAGCTGGTTTCATTTCTTTATTTTTTTTCTTGTCTAAGTACTTGATTTTCAAATTTAGTGTATAGCCTTACAGTGGTATTGGGTATTTAAAAAAACCAATTTCCTTAATTTTTTAAATTTTTTAAATCACTTGTTAAGTTCAAGGGTGGGAATACCTATCAGTATTTGTTCCAGATCTTCCTTTTCTAAAAGTATTATCAAATGTTAGAAGCAAAAATATAATTCAGTTCGAAGAACCATAATATACGTTAATCAGCCTTTTCAACTGTCGTCGTTTAAAGAATAAATCTTAAAAAAAATTTAGAGACGAGATTTTTATTGTGCTTTCATGTAATTAATCTACACTTTCATTGGTTGATTCAATAAAAGATCCTGGCACTCCCTTTATCTTCTTATTTCACAATAAATTGGGCATAAAATTTGGGCTAATTTCTTTTGGCCTTCCTGTATAGAAAGTAGTGCACACAAATATGTGTGTCATTTGTCTTGCGTGCATATGTGACACACCAAAGATTACAGTTTGGCATACAACCAAGTTATTTTATTGAATATATTTGTTTATTACCATATGTGGGTGTGCATGTGGGCAACCGGCACCCAACATATTTAAAGCCATTCAAATGTGTCAGCCATAATATTAAGGACTAAAAAATAACGCCTATGCTGAACACTGGCCCGACCGGATGTGCAAAGTAGTAGGCTAAAACGCACTTATTTGACGCCAATTCAGACAAAGAGCTCACAAAAAAAGTTTTGTTGAGAAATTGATAATGGGGGTAGCGAAAACCATTATGTAGATTGTATTCGATGGAATCGAAAGTGCGCCAGCAAACATGCAAAGCCGCCAGCATTGAATTGCCATGCCAATAATAATAGTAATAAACGTTTTCATTTGACGCTGAAATTTTTTATTGTGATTTAAGTGCAGCAGTTTAAACTCATGTAGGGAATGAAAATGTTACAAATAATTGATCTGTGCTTCGCGAAATATATGATACTATCGGCAAATTAGCGGGAATATGATAGACTTTTCAAGAGCTTGTGAAATTCTTTACTTTTATTGGACATTGGTATTAATAACTTGGAGGTCAGTTGGTATGACTAACTATTTACAGAGTTCTTTCTATTTGAAAAAAAAACTTAATTAATTTTTGGATTTTTTTTAACTATACTTCTTAGAAGTCCAAGCGTGTCCTTTTTCTACAGTTCTCTCTAATACCGCCAAAAGATCCGTAAATGGTCATACAATACAAAGGGGCATCGGAAAATATTAAAAGTTTCATAATATAAGCTTAAGCAAAGCTTAAGCATAACTGCCATATTAAGAAAACTATATCATGGGTGAACAATAATACGAAGTTTAAAGATGAATTCTTCAATTTCAGATTCAATATTCAAGGAGCGATTACAATAATGAAGCAATGATATCTATATATATCGTTATATATATATATTACGTGTCACGTTTTAACCGTGGTTATCTCCTAAGCTACTGAACCTAATTGAATAAAATTAAGCACACTGTGTTCAGATTGATCCAACATATATGGTAGGATAGCTTAAATCTGAAATTTAAAAAAATATATAGAGGCATGTGTTAAAAATTCAAAAAGAAAATGAAAATATTCAATAATATACCAAATGGAAAATTTCATTTTTTTTCCACTGAATTTAAGTAAGTTCTAATTGAATATTTTATTAATTTAAAAAAAATAATATAAAAACTTAGTAAAATGACCAGGAAAAAATCAAACCTCAACAATCAGCGGAGCAGAGGGTGCGCGAGAACGTAACGCAAGGTAATTTTAGTCGAACAATACACAAATAATAGGGATATCAGACAGTCCTGCAGAATGAACTGAACATGAACGAAAGAACGAAAGAGGCAGCGGACAAGCAGCATGTCTGTTCCACGGTACTTAACATGGAATAAATCGGGTAAAAAATTGCAGCCATGAAAACAAGGAAACCACATCCTTCAATTACAGGCATATTCGTAACTAAGACATTGATCCGACTTTATGCGGTACTTCCAAAACAAAGTCAATGTTTTTATTTACGTCTGTTATTGGTGAATATTCCTGGATCAATGTCTTATGAATTTTTGCGAACAATTAATGGCCGAGTATTCAATACATACCAAGATGCATACCGCGAATTGAAATTGTTAGAAGATGATAACCATTGGGATCGTACACTTGCTGATGCTGCGTTGACATCAACGACAGATAAAATTCGTCAAACGTTTGAAATTATTTTAACATCGTGTAATCCATCTCAAGCATCGAATTTACCAATGTGAAAACAATGATTTCAGCAATAAGATTTATAATGAAGCATTAGTGTTAATAGAGGATTTATGTATAATTAATTCAAATTTACCACTTAATAATTATGGTATCCTAAAACCATATCGACCGGCTGCAGACGTGGTTAACAAATATTTACAACGAGAAAAACAATTTCACCATAGTAATTTCGGTACAATTAATGCGAACTGTCAGCGATTACTGACAGCGGTTTACGCAGATTGTTGCTGATGAACAAGCCGGATTTGTTTTCATGTACGCCCCAGGTGAACCGGTAAGACAATTTTAATATCTTTAATTCTTGTCAAGATACGGTCCCAACAGAAAATCGCATTGGCAGTTGCTGCGTTAGGCATTGCGGCTACTTTGCTAGATGGTGGGCGAACTACACATTCAACTTTCAAATTGACTTTAGATATTCAAAATAAACCAAATGCATCACGTAACATAAAAAAATAGCGGAATAGCTGCAGTATATAGAAAAAGTTCCATTACAATTTGAGATGAGTGCACAATGGCTAACAAACATTCACTCGAAGCATTGCATATAATAATGCAAGATTTAAATGGAAACAAATAACTTTTTGGTACTGCAGTCTTACTATGGTCAGGTGATTTCCGAAAAATCCTTGCCGGTCATTCCTCGATCTACTTTCGTAGCTACAATAAATGCGATCGCGATTCGATTGACCATAAACATGCGGGTACAATTGCAAAGTGATCAATTAGTACAAATATTTTCAGAATTGCTAGATATTGGGAACGGTAGAAAAGAAATGCATCCAAATACACAGTAAATTAAACTGCCAATAAACTTTGTTTGAAGACTGGTTCACCTATAATTCTGTTGGAAAATTTTAATTCACTTTAATTATGCAACGGTACACGTTTGGCCATCAATAAGATCACAGGAAATATTATTGAAGCAACCATTTTGACTGGAGAGTTCAAAGGAGAAATAATCATGTTTCCACATATTCCAATGATATCGTCAGAGTCTACGATTCCATTTAGAGGACTGCAATTATCAGTTCATTTAGCTTTCGCAATATCTATAAATAAGTCTCAGAACCAAACAATGTCCGTTTGCGGTTTAAATTTGGATAATCCATGTTTTTCCTATGGGTAAATATATGTTGCTTGCTCACGTGTGGAAAAGCCATCGAATGTTTATATGCTAGCTAGGGACGGATTAACAAAGAATATTGTGCACCGAATAGTTCTAAATTAAACTAAAATGGAAAATATTGATAATTAACACCTACCTAACATATTATGTTGAATTGTATAACTTAAAAAAAATCATATTAACCAATTTAAAATTTTTAAAGTATTATTAAAATTTTAACCTCGTGGATTTTTAAAAACTTATTTTACTCTTTAATCATAAATAATATTTTACTGTATTCAATAGTTTAAAAAGATATAATTTATTGTAAACTGTGGCTAAGGGAAAGCGTTACCAGGGTCTACTAGTACATATAAAAATTTTCCCATTTCTTTTTCTTATACATATTGTACATATTCATATTATTTTGACTATAGTTACTTCTATTATTTTTATTGTTATTGTTTATATTTTCGAAAAGCAATTGCATGCGATAATTCGTATTGAGCAATTTACATGAAGTACATTCCAATATACATAATTTTATCGACTAACAAATAAAAAGAATGACAAAGAAGAAGAAGGGTTATAAGCGTAGTGAATGAAATTGTATTGATATTACATAACAACTATTCGATGGCCGCATGTATGTGCTTTAAAAACGATAATATTGTATATGCCAGAGTAAGTGCCGTTTCACACAGGGATTCAAAAGAGTCTGAGTTTTTTAAAATTTTCTTTTGGTGTCGCTCTGGGCATTCACACGGTCAAAAAGAGTCCAGCAACTCGAGTCTAGTTTTTCTGCATTCCTTTTCACAAAATTTTCGTATATATTTGTGCGGTTCGACTGCGCAACACTGCATGCTGCGTATTTCATTTGTATGTTGAGATGATGGTCACACATTTTGCTTGCAATGAATTACCATGAATATGGTAGAACAATATGCATAATACAAGTACCTACCCGCTAAATAGTTTCAAAGAAATACTAAAGACGGGAATTCCCTAATCCACAAGAATGTATTGAATATCCGCTACTAATATTTTCAAGGCCAAATTTATAATAGGAATTTCCTAATCTTTAAGTATTAAAAACTCATAATTTCTTTACTCCATAATCTATATCTTAATTTTCTCCTTATTTACAATTTGTCATAATATTTTTATTATTCTATGCATACGTATTTGCATATTACATACAAAAATAGATAACAGAACTCAAATTTGCGATCGAATTCATTTGAAACCGAGCGGTCTTCAAAGGATTTGAAAGTGAAAAGGAATGCTGAAAAGGGCAGCGAGCACAATAAACTGGCATGAGACTCTTTTGAATCCCAATGTGAAACGGCACTAAGAGTACAGGAAAGTGTCATATATACAATATATATGTATAGTAATAAACACACACGTACATATTATTGTAATTTCACATGTAAAGCGGTGCATGCTTCTAGTTTCTTAATTTCGGATTTTTTATATATTTTTGGGTCATTGGAAATTGAATTCGTTTATTTGTCAGCATAAATTCAATCGGATTCAATTTTGATCATGCATCCATGGAGAATGGTTACTAGAAACGCATGTATATATATATACTATAGGGTGAGTCAAAAAAAAAATACAAATTTTTTTTTTTCGTTTGGTATTCCGAAAAATATGTTCTTAGACACCTCTAATAAAGTCTCTCCAAGTATGAGCACTGAATTGTAATGAAAGGTCCTCAACCTTACTGTTTTCTATTTTTTTCTTATTATATACATTATACTTAAAAAAATATTTCGTTCCATAAATTTTGTTGGTTGTTGCTTTTTTCGTAAAACTAACCATTTAACCGATATTAACGGCTGAACTTGATTATTTTAAGACAACATTTTTTTTCTTATGAATTTTTAACTTAATGAAAAAAAAATCATTATAAATCAGAAAGCTCACAGTTTTGTAGGAAATTTACCGCTCTACAAAAATGGTCACCAAGGTTTCCTTTTGGGTGTTATAAACTTCGTGCGAATGTATACTAATCGTGATAACTTACCTAATTAAAATAGCATAATGTAAAAATTGGGAAATAAGACTGATTTTACTAGGCATATTTCTGCTCACACGTCAGTAAAGAAGTCACTGAATGATTTCCTTTGTGGTTTCATCCTTAAGGGAACTGCAACCGTAGGAATATTATGTCTAATTCAGATGTTTGTTTCTTTAAAAAATGTGCAGATTATTTAGATTGATGCAATCGAATAGAACCTAAGTGTAATCATATGTATTCGTTTTTACACATTTAGGCAACTATATTTAATTTTCAACATTTCAATTATCTCATTTGATTTTGTTTACGAAAATTTCAGTAGACTCGTTAAATGCACAGGCAAGCCACAGCATTTAGCATGTCATGTGCAGCACGATTTTCACTCAAACACAGCGCTTCACAGATGAGTGCTTGTACGTCTGTGCTTATCAATCTTGCCGAGACACGTAAGAAAATACAATGCACTGTTTGGTGTAATTGCAAAATTTAACAGTAATGTACATGACATCACCACACCACCTAACCGCCGCCGTCTTTATCACTAATACCACTATAACTAGCTAACCGAACTGACATATTGATTGCCAAACTAAATACCACAGCAAGTCTGCGGGCCGGTAATTCTGCTGATTATGTTCACACATGCTAAGCTTTCTACATGTATGAGCGAGCGTGTTTTGTATGGTTTCAATGATATCACAGGACGGTTTGTAGCATAATTTCATTGCCTCGCCAAACTAGATTTCTCGAAATATTTGAATAAAAGTTCATTACATATAAAGCCATTTATAGACTTTCTCCAGCTCCCAGAGGAGCTTAGTTAAAGACCTATCAATAAATCAGCGTATACAACAAAAGCTTAACACTTCAAACCGTCTAGAGAGAGAACATTGAACACAGTGAAAGTTCTCGGTTCTCTCGATTTTAACTTACCTGATTTCAAGGCGAGATATTAATTTTATTTTACCTAAGCTGGTGTTTATGAACTTTCACCCAAAAAATTAACTAAATATTTACTGCAAAATTTCCGCTGTCTCTCTTGTATCTGCTTCATCTTTTGAGCTATAGATGAAAACGTGAAACGTAACGTAAGCATTACTGGTATTTGAATCTTCGGCCCTTTGCTTTGCGTTATATAGAGGAAAAGTTATTTCTATCTGAATATAGGATCGAAATTTTCAGACGCATTGCCGATTCAGCAGGTGCCTAGTGTGATGCCAAGACTATATGCCTACGTGCAGTATCCAGTTAACAAATCCTGATATTGTACAATTATGATTTTTCTAGTAGTGTTGCAATTATACTTAAAAGTATAAACTGGCCCTGGGTGGATTTAAGTATAAGATTGAAAAAAATAGTTTCTTATTCCCATATAATTTTAATTTTAGCTAAAATTCATGCAGTTCTGTTATATATTCATATTTCGATGATCGGTAAGTTGATCCACCTATTTGATACTTGCATTTTACATAAGCGAAAATTATCCAAAAGTGTATTTTAATTATTACACCATATACGTATTCCATAAATAACGTTATTGTAAATATGCCCGAGATTAGATTAAATTTGTATTCCTTAATTTACAGTGCACTAAGTAAATAATGATATATTTTCAACATCATAATTGTAATTATATCCTGAGCAGTTTGCCTCGAAGTTTGCAATACCCGCAGGAAACTTATTGTCTAAGGTAATAGTGTTATCTCCGAAGAAATTGTTCTAATCGAATCACTAAAACTGAACGATCAGAAGTTCTTCTAACGAATCTTTTGTATATGTGAAGGGTATTATCGCTGCAGTGCAACCGAAATTAACGTTTTTTTTATTGCTCATTTCGGTTTAAATTCGTTTTTGTATATAAGTATTCAGAACTTTGCCCTCAATAATGACCGCAGAAAATATAATATTAACGAAACGACTAGTCGATCAGCCCAATAGCCAGCAAAAACCCCGAAAATTATGCTATTATTTGTTTATCATTATTTATTTTGTTACCATTGCTTTTTTGTGGTGGTATTTTATTTTTGTTTAGGTAATAAATAATTTACGCTGCGTAATTTTATTAAATTTACGGGGT